ATATATTTTTATTGGAATTTTACGATTTTACTCGGGAGTTAATCTCAGTCTACGATTAACTACGAATACCTTCGAGTGTTACTCGTCATCGGAGGTGATCGACTTGATCTTCAACTGCTGACGTGTTGAGGTGGAGTCGTTATCGTTGCGTGGAACGATCTGTAAGGGTTAAACCCGCATATTACTATCTGACAAAAAATGATAGTAGATTCTTTGTTTGAGCAAAATTGTGTGCCATAAAAAGTTTCAATACCATTGAAAAAAGTGCAAGAAATACATATCAAATGTTAAATTTGAAAAGGAGATCATTCTGAGTTAGCAAAACTAATGTGAAATTAGTGGTATGAAATTCGTTTCTTCAGTAAAACTGCTTCAAATAAATTGTTCTAAAATTTTATCTAACATTGTGGTGGTCTGTCTAGAATCTCACAAGATTGGCTGAAGCAGTTGGAAAAGCTTTTTTAATCAGACGAAAAACAAGAAAATTGTTTTATTTTCAGAAATTTGGACAATATGTCATATGGGCAGGAGAGTCATAGTGAACAGGTGGGGCATAGTGAGCATTGCGCACTTTGGCTCTGGATCTCCAGCTGCATGAAACAAATAAACTGGTAGTAGGTTCAATATAATTATGATATTGATCCTACCACCAACCAATTTGTTCCGAACGGCCGGAAGACCAAGCTGGGGCATGGGATGCTCACTATGCCCCTATATAACTCTATACGATATCAAAGGTAATAGCCTTTGCTGAAAAATGGAACTAATGTTTCAAATTCGGAAATAGTGCAGAGATTAAATTTAATCATTATATTCTACTGTCAAAGTTACCCGTACATGTCTATAAATTTTCTAATAACAAACTTTAAAAAAATTTCATTATAAATCTGTTCTTTTAATACAGTTTATGACACTTACGTTAAGTAAACACGTTTTGGCACTCTATTAATTATTGTAAACGAAGTTTTTACAAATAAAAAACTTTGAAAACCTGCAAACTTTCCGAAAAGGCCTGGAAGAACCAGAAAAACTCAAGGAATAGTATTAAGCAAAATGAGTAGACACCCTGTAACAACCCAAGCAACACTGCAAGTTTTATTGAGGTTTTAAAGCATTCTATAAGACCATGGTCTATAAAACCCTCATAAAATCAGAAATGTTTCTTGGACAAGTGACTACCAGCAGCAGCGACTTCAGTTGGAGAATTCCCGTCTGGAATGCTCGCCGAGGTTGTTTGAAATCTTCTTCGACTGCATCGAGAAGCATTTTGTAGTACTATTATGGAACATCTGGAATCCAAACCGGGAACGTGTAGAATCTCGAAGTGGTTGGATCGTGAACTTCTGGCAGCACCTTTGGGAATTGTGAAAATCTCCATCGTAAACGTCTGGAGCATCGAGTTCTAGAATTTCCACCTGGAAAATTCCGAATCTAGGTCGGCCACGTCAGGAACAGTGTTGAACAAGTTCACGAAATAACCAGTTTTATAGAGGTTTTAAAGCATTCAACAAGGCTAATTCTTGGTCTACAGAACCCTCATAATACAAACATTATTACTTGGGTACAGTGCCCTTGGATCGGAAGGGTTGTGAATCTTGGGATCGTCTGAAATCTCTGTTGTGAACGTCGAGAATGTATAATATCTCCTTCGGTAACCGATATGTCTGCAATTCTTGTCTGAAAAGTCTTAAATTTTCGTCTAGAATATTCGTCGAAAACGTCTAAAGTACCTATCTGAATCTTCTAGAATCAGCCCGGATTCTTCAAGAATAGCCCGAATTATGCACATGAAGTCTCCAAAAAACTTTTTGCTGGACGCAGCAATGTGTTTTGCGTTTGTTTATTTGTTTCGCTTGACAGCTTAAATAGCTTAAACAGCTGTTATCAATCAAAGTGGAAGCCTTTGTTACTGCTAGGGTAGGGTACCTAAAGGGTTACCAGACAAACAACTCAGCGTGCGTGGCTAAGCAACGGCCTACCAGTGAGGGTGCGTCATCCAACGACCTCTTTTGATGGCTAGCTCGATCTGGAGAACTATACTTAGGCTCAAGGTCGGCTGGTGTAGATCTACTGGACTAATCAGGACTCGGATAGTGTGGTATAATTGAATAAAAAGCTAATGATTGACATTCGCATTCTTTAATTCCCTAAATTTTACATGCTGTGTGTATGTGTGTGGTGTGTAGTGTGTTCGTTTAAACTATACATGGTCGTCCGGCAACTGCTGAACCACGCTGGATGGTAGTGGTGGTGATGATCTCGAAGATGATGGCTAGCTTGATGCCAGGAAACGTGGTGGTGGTTGGGCTCGAAAAGGACGATGATTACCGTGATGATTGGGCGCCGGTAAGGGTGGCGATGATGCTATCAACCGTCGACAATTGCCGTTGATGATCCGTGGCGATAGTAGGTTCCAGCTACCCACTCCTATGCCCCCGGTAACCCAATTGGTGACGAAATTGGGTCCGTGGGTATGACTAGGCAATCCCCTGGTCAGTGCAACAAGGACCAGATCTCTCTTCCTGAATCTCGTGGGAGAACGAAGTTTCCTCTCCTAAGAACTAAACGGTCCCAGACAGCTTATTCGGAGCCTTCCCTAAAGGTCGTTTCCGGTCTATGATTTACGGGTCCTATTGGGCATACAAATAACCCTCTTCTCTGGTTACTTGGCAAGTGAAAGAGTACATCCCTTTGTTAATTACTTGTCCCTTTCCTGTTGGTCTTCTCTTGTCCTTTTCTTCTAATTTATCCACTGAACTATTACTTCGACTCAGATTCCAGCAGTTGGTAGTGTACTGTGGTAGCACAGACAAACAGACATAACACATTGAATATTTTTCACTGTAAAACATCGTCGCTAAAACATTACTGCCATCTGTCGAGTACACTGTGGTGGGCACTACAATGAACAGATGGTGGTAGTGTGTAAACGTCAAACGCAAGGGAATTGACTATGCCCGCAACAGGTAACAGTTAACTACGATACTTTTAAATTGTCCGTTAAATTCTTGTTCGATGAACAACTTGAGAGTGTTATGTTTGTTTGTCTATGGTGGTAGTGTAGTGTGTACTTAACTTAGAGGTATATTTATTGGCAATTCAAGTTATTTAAATTTGAACAAGGACACGCAGAAAACATATAGCTAACAATAGTACAAAAAAGACAAATGTTACAAACGGTAACACCTTTTTAACGATGGTTGAGGAGTAAATATAAATTAAGTAACTGAGGAAAAATATTTAGCTTTTATAAACCGTCCACATCATTTCAGTTCCATTTCACCCCTGGCTGGTTTGCATCCTACATTTAAAACCTATAAAACAGGTACATTATTGATAGAAATCATTATTTTACTAAACTAAATCACAAGTTTTATAAAAGTTCCACGACGCACTAGTAAAGGCTTGATGTATCACCAAGTACTACACGGATCATGATTTGAAGACCTCTGTTTTAGAGCACTTAGATTGCCGATGAATCAACATAATATATTCGTAATTGCTAAAGGAAATTCTGAATCACCGTCAACAATTTAGTCAACATTGTACATTGTTGTATTTTCTCATGCACAATTCCCTCCATAAGATGGTAGAGTTCCCGGTTGAAAGCCACTGCCACGCTTTGATCATGTAATTCTGGACAGCATAGAAAAAAAATCGCAAGGATCTAAGACCATTTTTATTAATGTGGCCACTTTGTCGAACGTTCCGGATCTTCAGTTTGGTCATAAGACGTTCCCTGAGGGTGTATATAGTGTCGTTGTACCATATATACTTAAAACTATTAGTCAATCAAGTAAGATGTAAAACTAAGTCGATAGATAGTGGCATTTCCTATTTTATCGGGAACTTGGGTTGATCCTGGCCTTCTATATCGTCAGGAAAAAGCCTCCGGTTAATGACATCACCAGCAATCGATTCAGCATAGTTTTTCCTTTAATAATGTCCCAAGTAACCAACAAGCCTGCTAATTCGCCTTTTTGCAATATAATGCCTTGTCCAGACTGGAGAGTTATTACAAAAAGGCGAATTAGCAGGCTTGTTGGTTACTTGGGGTGTATAACATATTGTCTGAAACCGTTTGTCGGCCCAGATATTCAATTTAGTCGCGGTTTTGTCAATTTCTGCCCTCTCGTGCACTGTTGTAAAATATATGTTTGCAAATTTCTTTTTTTCTTTCTTACTATCTTTAAACGAAATTCTGCGGAATTTCGCAATATTTGCTTAACATGGAAGTATTTGAACCTGAAATTTTCTGATTTAAACGAAACGAAACAAGTAAAAATACTTGCAGCTTAAAAATATTCCGCGAAATTCTGCGGAATTCCGATTCGAATCTTAATAAACGGTAACACTCGACATATCGCGACATTCGCATAACCTTACATTCCATTATTCCATTTTCATAACAAATTTATTTATTTATTCATTATTCAACGAATCAGACAGAGCTCATCTTCCGAACGGCCAAATCAAAACTCGGTCCACTCGGCTATTCTACTCCCCGTCAGGTGGAGTCTTCCCTGTACTAAAATGCTCAATAAAATCCAACCCATGCTGTAAAAAACAACCCTCCATGCTGCACCACCCACTAATGTCCAAGTCAGCCCAGCATGACAGCAGCGACAGTGACGCAACGCTATCACACGCACACCATCGAACGCTTCTCTTTCTCGCAATCTCACCGGACGAAACAGCTGACTCGTGAGAGAGCACCCACTGCTGCTGCTAATGCTGATGCTGTTTCAGTTGGTCGATGCTCCGTCAGTTCTGTAGGTACCGTAGCATTTTATGTTTATGCTGTTTGGTTTGCCTTGTCGCTCCCTCTTTCTCTCAAAGTTTTGTTACGGGACTCTCTTGTTTTTTTTTTGATGATGATGCTGGCCGAGTGTTGGTGAGCTCGTGCAACGAATCTGACGGAAAAACAGCAGCCATGATCGTCTTTCGTTGTCCAACTCGCTGTCAGTAGTTTGCGGGAGGAGTTCGAAGAAAGTGGAAAAACATCGCGTCTTCTGAACAGTGTGGATTCGATTGGATTGTGCATTCTGTGAGTGGGAGAATAATTGAAGGAAAAAAATAAAGTAAATGAGATTGTGATTACTGTTATTGTGTGGATTTAGGTCTTTTTTATTTTTGCTAACCGTATCAGCAGTAATTTCGTAACGATCATGGGAAAAGTTCGAAAAAAGTCAACCGAGTGTTACGAAAGTGCGTGAGATGAAAAGTGCAAGGTGAAAACGGAAGAGCAAGCGAACAACACTGAAAATGGATGGAAAATAGTGCTGTTTCTTTTCTGAATTTAATTCTTCCTGCCTGAGTCGGGACGCAAGCGAGCGAACAACAAAATAACAAACACAACGGGTAAGTGTGTGACGAGATGGTGGAAAATCACCAGTTGTGGCGAGGGAGGAAAATGAGGAAAATTTTCTTTGTGTTGTCACCCGTCTTCGTCGCAATATGCCAAGAATAAGAAACTAGCACTTGTGTTGTTTTATTTTCCTGCTGCTTCCGGATGTGATGTTCTTTAAAAAAATATTATTGATCGTATGTATGCGCGCGGGGGTTGCTGGTCGCTACTGCTACATGCTGAGTGGTGTTATTGGCTGAGTGCTTATAAAATATTTACGACGGTAAAATTGCACTGCAAAAGTTGTTTTCTTTCGGTCGTTCTTCCGCAGACTCTTGCAACTTTTTCTTTGCTGTTATTGTTGATTTATATCTGGCGAAGATTTTCGCCCTATCGATGAAATTTGATCAGTATTATTAAATCAGTGGGAAATGATAAGTCTATTTGATGGAAGTGCGAATTTCGGTCCGTGTAAAGCGGATGAATGTTGAAGAATTGAGAGGACAAAGGAGGGAAATGTTTTGGCAATTGGATGAGAAAAAGATGGTGTAAGCCGAAGAGGTGACTGGTGATTCAACCAGCTTCTTCGTTGCAATTTTTTTAACTGTTTTTTTTTTTTATTTTCTGTGTAGTAGTTACTTTACAATGAACTTTATTCCAAACAATTTTTAAAACATGATCGAGTTTATCCCGGCAATATAATAAAAATACAAAGCTAATCAGAAAAATATCTTAAAAATGTTGCATATTTTAAAAGCTATTCAGCAATAAGATTTCACTAAACATAGCATGGTCTAAATGATTATAATATAAGCTAACAAGGTATATCAGCTAAAAAAAAAATTGTCTTCAAAATCTAGAATTCAGAAAAATTAACTGGCTTTAACTCCAACGAATCTATTATTTGCGAATTAACTGATGTCAACTTTTACCTCTAAACATTTATAGTTCCTTGAATATCAAGTAAGGGTCTCAGAAGCACAGTGTTTCCATTTATTTTCAAGCAAACGGTTTTCACTGCTATTTTTTAAACTGTTCAGTGATACGTATACCAATGTAATAAAGAGCTACAAATTGTCTTTTTAGCCCAGGAAAATATGAAAAAAAATTAACTTTCTACTGCCCGAAGTATTCTTTCCTTTTTATTTAACGTCGATCTCTGTTCCACAATCTAGTGCCAATCACCGACGGACATCGATTGCCATCCATTGACGGCAATCGAATGTGCAGAAAGGCAGCTTCCACACCTGCGTAGGATATCACACATTCAAACACACATGGGCCGGGACCAACGGCTTTGCTTCCCTTCCGAAGGAAGACGTGACCAGAGATTTTTATGCCTCAGAAAAATCCCACCGACCTCGACTGGGATTGAACCCAGACCCATTGGGGTGAGAAAGCAGTCACGCTTACCACTACACCCCCGGAACCGGCTACTGCCCGAAGTATGGTTTGAGTCCTTTCATTTATCTAATGAAAGATTGTACGATTTTTTACTTAATTTGCAAGTAATTGATATGTAAAGTAAATTCTTCTTTATTTTGATTTGTTATGTGGTTTACAATTGCTAATACAGGGCAAGAGGTTAGCTAGAAGGACTCTTCATCTTTGGTGGACTTTTTGATTTTGTGTTGTATATGTTGTTTTTTACTGTGTAATGTTTTTCACTTTTCTTTTTGTGAAGTATGTTGTTTGAATGTATTAATTTGTTAATTTGTTATTCTACCTACTTAACCTAACTTAGCCTAACGTGCCAGATCCCTGACGATCTGTTGATCGGATCGCCTACAGCAATCTCTGAACCTTGCGATTAAGTCAGCTCTCCGTAACTCCAGTGTCTGAAGACCAGCCAGGCGGTGGACTTCAGAATTTCTAGTCCACGTGGGACGGGGGACTGACATCCTAAGGATCTTGTTTTGGATCCTTTGGAGAGTGAGGTGATGGCATTTGGCGCAACTCTCCCAGATTGGCATCCCGTATTCTATTACGGGAAGGATGATTTGTTTTTAGACAGCAAGCTTATTTTTGAGGGACAGGGTAGACCTCCTGTTGATGAGTGGATACAGTAATCTTATCAAGATGTTAGACTTGGTTTTGGTTTTGTCAACGTGCTCCCTGAAAAGAAGCTTGCTGTCTAGTGTTAGGCCGAGGTACACGACCTCTTTGGACCATTCCACCACTGAGCCGTTTAAGAATATCTAATTATTTTCAGACGGAACAAGTCTGGGATGATAATTGATATGTGGCTTATGTCCTCTGTTTTTATTTGCTTCTGGTGATGCAAGCTTGGGCAAAAAATGAATAGACACCGTATTATTGTTTTTCAAACGATTTAACCCATAAATATAGTAAATAAATGGTATTGTTGAAAAACAAAATCGAATTCATGTCAGATCTTTGAATGGCGTGTTTGAACAGTAAAGGACTAGGCATTTGTGTGGCCTGAAGAGGCCAAGGAAGCGCAGTCTGCCCTGGATGTTGTCACGGTTGCATCCGAAAGGATTGGAATCGGTTTATTATGGATTCCTACTCAGAGCTTTCATAGAATTCACCTTAGAATGCATGTGCAGTTACTTCTTTCAATTGAGTAGTTCCCAACCAAATTACGAATCGATCAGACGTGAGCTTTTCCGATTTGCATGAAACACATTAAAATTTTAGCTACAATGCGGCCATTTTGAATCTTGCAAAAAATAAATCTAAATGGCCATTTCTGAATACGTCACTTCACTTCGGTACACCCCTCTTAAATCATTATTCCGACAGCCAGAATTTGATAACATTCGTAGCTTAAGATTTCAGGTTTGGATCGAAGGGTCTCAGAAATTTATGAGTAGAGGTAGAGTTTATGATTGTATGAACGCAAAGAAAAACTAAAAAAAACATCGGAGTGGCTATTTTATTAGGAAACTTTTAGTTGAAGTTTTCGGATTGTCCCGGACATCACGTGCTTTGAAAATTTATAACTCGTGAACCAAGGATCATATAGAGAACGTTTTGTAAATTAAGTATTCTAACGGAACTATCATTTCTATACTTTCATCTCCTTATCGTGTAATAATGACCACTTTAGTCTATTATTTGAAATTAGCATCTTCAACTATGTAAATCGTTAATTTCACGCAGAAGTAATACAAACAAATTAGTTAAAGCACATAACTCTAGATGGGAGTACCTCCCCTACCCGTGTCCCCTTGAGATCGTCAAATCGACGATGACAGGAGCACATATCGTGGTAGAGGTAACAATAGCTGCAATTTCCAAACCTTCGACTAGATGCCTCCCTTCAGATAACGAGTGCGGTACAAGCGATAAGACTGTTTCAACACATCGTAGGTACATGAGCAAATCGGTTTTGTCAGTGGTGGCGGGGGAATACCCCTCACCATCCCTCTCCAACTTAGGAGTTTGGTAAAGAGAGATGATCAATCCGATTCGTACCTTCCTCAAAGTTGTCCTTGCTCGCTTTCTACTCTCTATACACAATTTCCACGCTGCCGCACTCTAACGGGACTATCTACTCTATACTTTCATTTCCTCATCGATCGTGTAAAAAATATCTGTTATTTGGAATTAGTATCTTCAACTAAATATTAAATAGTGTTTTTTTTTGTTATTCAAGTTTAAAACAGTTGTCACTATTTGAAACTAAATATGGATTACAAAATTTGTCAAATATACCGTAATCCGTCGATCTTGTTTTCCGTACTGAGTACCAATGCTACCGACGGGGGTGAGAGGCAATCACCTCACCGTCGCTGAAATTGATCACTTAATAATATAAATATAGAAATAAATTTCTACATTAAACGAAATTGACAAACTAATGGTATTAAAATCGGTAGCTATAAGGTCTCTATCATTCTGCATGATTACTTACCAAATAGACTTCTCTGACGTTTGTGAATTGCACAAGTATTAGTACAAAACTTTGGGTAAATTCAAAGGTTTTCTTGCACTAATACTTATAATTTATCCCGAGGTCTGCACTAATACTTGTGCATTTCACAAACGTCAGCGAAGTCTATTGACTGTCTTGTTTATTTTTAGGGCATTTTGAAATCTCAAATTTGAAAATATCGATATGGGGGAAAATTAGTTACTTTCGATTAAATTTCTAGTAAATGTCATTATTAAATATGGGCTCCCTGAACCCGAATCAGATGCTTAAATCCTTGCGCGAAGTATATTTTCAGCAGAAGTTACAAAGAAGAATTTTTAAAATGAATATTTGCGCCTAAATGTAGGAAATTTTCTTTAAAAATCTATGTATATTTTACAGAAAACCATTGATATCTCACAATGGACAATATTTTACCGTAGTTTTTTTTTAATGATTCAGGTTTATTGGCACTTAGTTTGATTAAAACATACCACTTTAAAGTCAACGACAACAACCGTTTCAACCCTATGACCATTTCAGTTAAATAAAACTGAAATTCATGCAGCAAAATCTACTTTTTTGTTATGAGAATCACGTCAAAGCAATCATTGGAGTCTTATGATGAAATGCTATCAGAATTTCTCTTGATATATATCACCGGAAATTTTCTAAGTGAAATCTAAAAACGCAATCCATAATGATCAATTTTGCCCCCGGATTACGGTACGCGTGACACCTGCATGGCAAAATGCAAATGTTAAATCTGATGTAAAATTCGTGGATGCGGAGCTTATTCTATATTCTGAACGTTTTATATCTAATAACAGACATATACGGTTCTTTAATTGTTTTTTTTTCTTTATACCGTGATTTTTAGCCGTAGGCTAGTTCATCACGTTATACAGCCTATGGTCAGGCTAGATCCTGCCAAAAAAATAGGTTTCAATTTGACATGAACGTGACGTATAACTGGCTCTGATTACCCAACGAATGAGACAGACAACATTTTAAAAACTTAATGTTAGGTCAGGATGCGATCGGGGCTGTGGCGAGGACTGGGTGCGCGAACAAGGAAGAGCTCCACCGTAGGAGACAGTGCCCGGTCCGGCGGAGAAACCCCGACGGCAGAAAAAAA